CAATGACTGATTTGAACCTATTTTTCCCCAAAAAAGCATGCAGGGACTATTTTCAGATGCTTGATTATGGCAAGAAGGAAGAAAAGTAATGATTTTTGGTGTAATACAAGCAATTTGTAGATTCAAGCATACAATTTTGCATAAAACATTGCAGGTTTAAATAATATCGTAGGTTCCAAGCCATTGCATTACAATTGAATAATTGTCACAATTAGGTTTTGTAAAATTTAAAACTCTAGTTTTGAAGTGAAGCAATAAAACTAAATTCTTAAACAATGACTTTTACCTTCATACAACACAGAATAGCTATTTTTATTTGGGTTGAAAAAGTTATATACAACTAACATGGATTGAGTCTTGGTAAAAGTCCAGTAACACATGAAGACAAATATCCCCTCAGCTTCCTGAAAGATCAATGAACATGTCTGAGGTTAAGATAGTCTTAACAGTGGTAATGCTAGTGTCCTAATGTGGCCAAACATGTAATGTGTTCTTTAAGCTAATTCAAAATTGAAAGCACCAAAATACAATTTTGATCTACAAAATGGAATTTGCTATCTATTCTTCATAATTAATGATGAACAATTTAGATGCAGAAACACAGCTATGAAAGGTTTTGATTGGTGCTATTCAATAGCTCATTTGAGTTGCCTTTTTAAAATCAGTTTTATTTCCATAGAATCCAAGAACTCTTCATAAAATAGAGAAATACAGATATCAAAGAAATTAATTAAAATTAAGTTAGAAATAAATAATCTTACAACAACATTTTAAATCTTTTAATGATTTAAAGAAAGGAAGACATATAACACTGAATGCTAAACAGGTCTTTTGAACTTCTCTTGGGAACTTAGATATATATATATTTAATAGTATATGTATATATGTTTTTTTACATTTTGCATGTAGGCCAGAGCTGTCTAAAATATCTCTTCGTAGTAGGCTATAGGGGTTTATAAGGAGATAGAATAAAATAAGATCCGAGATGATTCTCAGTTCACTAGAGTATGTCTTTCTGCTTTGACAATCAGCAGGGATCATAAATTTGAAGCAAATCGTGGCTTTTCTGCATCTGGGTCTGTGTTTAAGACTGAGGAAGACTCTCTCTGAAGAGCAGCTGCTGGTGGAGGGGGTGCTGGAGGGACTCCTCGGTTGGGGGGGATGGCTCCCGACGACATCTGTCGGAAGAGGGTGACTCGCTGTGGGACGGTGCCCCGGCCCCCTGCCTGTAGGCCCGTGCTGTGGACTGCTGCCACAGGTTGAGGGATGGAGGCCAAGGACTCGCCCACAGTGGGATGAGGTCTGGAAATCAGAGAGGAAACCTCATGGGGCAGCGAGGGCTGCGAGGCGGAGAGGGGCCTGACTTCTCTGGTCAGGTTGGTGTTATGAAGCGCCTGCGTGCTCTTGTGCACCTCGTTCTTCGGAGTGGAGCTGCTGGGGGTTTGTGGCGGCTGGGGCTGTGGCTGCTGCTGAGTCTGCGGTGGCTGGGCCTGCTGTAGCTGCTGCTGCTGCTGTTTTTTTGTTGGGAGGTAGTGGGGGACGCATAGTGGAAAGTTCGAGTGGCCAGTGGACTCTGCACAGGTGGGCTGCAGACCGCAGTGGTGTAGGAGCAGGGCGACAGGATGGCTGACGGCTGAGGCGTCTGTGTGCTGGGGCTGGGGGAATGCAGGTTGCTATGAGACAGACTGGTCGCAGTGTACACTGGTGGAGATTGTGTCCTCATGCGGGAGGTCGGGGTGGTAGTGGAAGATGTGGAATTTAGGGCTGTCATTTGAGGATAACTGATTGGAGCGATCGCCTGCACCATTTCCCTGTCGTGCTTTACAATCTGCTTCAGGATCTCGTTCTCCTGATTGTTGAAAACACCTGTGTTCAGATCCTTCTGGAACTTTTGCAGAAGAATTGAGTTTTTCTTCCCTGTCAGCAAAAGAAAGATAGGCACTTAGAAAGCCTAGGAATGACCGATGGCAATGCCAAGTGACGAAGGCTCCTGCAAACAGAGGTATGTCAGTGTTCTGCAGAAAAGGCCTGAAAATGTCCAAATACTCACAGTCAGACACTCAATAGTGGCTTCTGCCTTTCGCAGTTCCTTTATCTGCCTGGTAAATCTTACCTTCTACTGAAGTCAAGCTGAAAAACCTGTAAAGTGGCAAAAAGCCAATTTACAAAAGAAGTAGATATTTATCAAGAGGGTGACCTCAAAGAATGGGGGAAGAAAGGGGTTTTGAATCAGAATGGCCTGGAATCCAGATCTGAATTTAAAGCTATTTTTAATACAGAACAAGGAAAAAATAAAAGCTAACATTGGAGCCCTTTCTATGTGGCAGGCACTATACCAATGACTTTAGGAAGATAATAGAATTTAATCCACAACTCTGTGAGGTAGATGCGTTCATAATCCTGCTTCACCTGAAAGGAGACTGGCACATGACAAGACTGAGAAACATGCCCAAGGAAACGTGGTTAGGAAGTAGCAGGGCTGGCTAGGAAAAAAGGAGATCTGATTGTGCATCCTTGCCATGGATATGGAACCAGCTGCAGGTGTACCATCTGAGGCTCGCTAGAAATCCAGCCTGTCAGGCCTAACCCCACTTAACTGATTTGATTGTTGCAGGGTACCAAGGTTCCCAGGTGTTCCCCATATGCGAGCCTGAAGAGCGCTATACGGGATCTTTGCTTTTGACCAGTGCACCAGTGATTCTCCATGCTAGCTGCATGTTTTCCCTCATCCCTGTAGCCTTACCAAATACTAATGGCCACTTGCACGCTACTAATTAGATCTGAATAACCAGACACTGTGCCCAGATTTGGGTACTTTAAGAGCAAATTTTCCCAGGAGACTCTTTTCTTTAAAAGTTATTATTTATTCAATTTATTACTATTATTTATTTTTAAAATTTACTATAGGACACATGTGCTCATCAGAGAGAGAGAGAGAGAGACTGAGAAAGCAAGCCACCAGATCAGGGACTCGAACCATGGTCGGTCATATGGGAGTCTAGCATCTTAACCACTATACCTCTGCTGGCCCCCCAGGAGATTCTTATGTGCAGCCAGATTGAGAATTACTTCATGATCATTCCTTTTCTGTATGCTGTTGTGAGTCCCTGGGCACGGTGCATGGCAAGCTCTCAGCGCATCCTAGGGCCTCAGTAAGTTTAGCTTTTCTTCCTGCCACACGCTCAGAGTGTGGTTTTACAGTACATGGACATTCGTTGGCAGAATCGCAATTAGGTTTAATAGCAGATTGGAGAAAGAAGGGAAGAGCTGGAACTTTTCTTTTCTTTTCTTTTTGTTAAGAGGTTTTTGATACAGGTCGCGTGCGCTCGCCAGGCAGACACAGACAGACAGAGAGAGACAGAGAGACAGAAAGCAAGAAATCACTTCCCAGGGGGATGGCCACGCCGCAATCCCTTCTCCTCCATTCTCCTCTCAGGATCTTGGGCACGCACGCACATACACCTGGGGTGAGTTCTAAGCCACTGGGTCTGGGACACGAACCACGATCAACTACATGGGAGTCCAGCGACATAGCCATTACACTAACTGCTGGTCCCGAGCAGGAACTTTTCTGTGACATCATTATTACAGTAATATCTAAGTGAAGGTGGTCATTGAAAAATTAATCAATTTGCTATAATGCTAAGTAAAGGACAATAATAAATGTAACAAAGTATAACAAAGTATATGTAGGTATTGAAAATATCAGTATATGTTATAATTTCCTTAAGTGCTGAGAAAAGCAGTCATTTTTAAATGACTGACAAAATAGTTAGCTCTTTCTCCTTACAGACTGACCTAATTTCCTAAAGAACAAATCCTCTTACATTAGTAATAACCACAAATGCTTATTTAGCATATTCCTTAACCAACCACAGAATGTGTTTATAAGCAATGGTCTCAAAACTGAGAAGGATAATGAATCTTTATGATTATGTGAATAGTCAATATATCATAATCTGAGTATCTGTAACTTTACAAAAATAATATAAATTTTAATATGCTATTAAAATCTTTTAAGTGTCAAAAATACAAATGCTTTGTACTTGCTAGTAATAACTGTACTGTCTATATTATTAACCATTTCACACACACTTTCTTTTTTAAATAATTATTTTATTTAACTTTAAGTATGTATGTATGTATCCATCTGATGTAATCCCACTTCGCTATTTTTGGGATTATTGCCTGTGCTTTGTGGATGAACATGGAAGATTTAATACTAAGTGAACAGAGCTGGACCATGAGAGGCATTATGCATCCCTGCTTAACATATACTGAATGAATGCACTTTCTGGCAGAAACTAAAAGATTAGAAGGTATAAAAGCATAGAATGTTGGGGCCAGAAAGTGGCATGATGGTTGGAACACTGGACTCCCACATGGCCAACCATGGTTCAAGTCCCAGACCTGGCGGCTTGCTTTCTCATATTCTCCCCCCCCCCACCCCTGCTCCCCTCTCTGGTCAAAATAATAAATAAAAATAAAATAATTTAAAAAAAGCATAGAATGCAACTGTGGATACTAGAGACAGTGTGGGAGGGTGTTGGGCAATGGAGATGGGGGAAGAAGAGGGGAAATCAAGAGGAAAAAAGGCAAAACATTTAATGGGAACAAAAATGTCAAGTATCTGTTGATGATACTTTGTATGGTAATATCTTTGGCTGGACCAATATGCAGTGTATTCATGCTGGAAAAAAATCATTTTGTATGATGTAAAGATGTACAATTATTAGATACAAAAAAATTAGAAAATAAAAAAGGAAAATACAACAATCTATAGTCCTTACCTGTAAAAGAATGAAGCAGTTGCGGTACCTTCTTGTTTATTACAAGTAATCCCCGCCCCATCTCTTTTGAGTCCATTTAGTCCTTCCTCCCTGCCTACCTCTCTTGAAAGATATTCACCATCGTGCTCTAGATACTGTGAATGTAATGGTAAATTAGACATGCTCTCTACGTTCTCAAAGCTTAGCATCTCTAGAGCAATGTTATTAATAAGAGCAGTGCTGTGGTGGGGAGTGCTTCAGAGGCTATGGAACATATCCTGGGAGCTTAGTCTATTGGGGAGTGGGAGGTCCGAGGTTTCTACAGGGAAGAGCTGTGTACACCAAGATATTTAGGTTGAGTAGAGTTAAGCTGGGAAGTGGCGCAGAGCAGGGTAGGGGGAGTAAAGAGGGTTTAATTGTGGAAAATTAATGCTTACTACCTTATGGCATATTAGAATGTTCTGGACTATCAAGGGAAGTTAACAAGCTAATCTGATCTAACTTTACTATGGCAATTATACAAATCTTTACACTAGCATAACTAACAAAGTTGTAAATTTGATAGCAGAAAAGACTTTAAGTTGATGTTTGCAATCGAAGCATCTATATAGGGCACTTCTAAAAAGGCCTATTCTGCTTGAGTCTGTATTACAAACATTTCAATTAGTTTCTGCTGAAACCAATTTAAATGCACAAGTTCTTATTTCTTTATATAATAATAAAATGTAAAATTGGCCCCTAAAAATTAAAAAGCACATCCGGGATAAAATTTGGTTTGTAAAGACTCACTGTTATACTTTTAGTTCTATTTCAATGCTATCTAGAATCTTTATCATTGCTTTTTACCGGCAGATTCAAACTGTATTGGCATCACTCAGGAAAACAGATTGCTTAGCTAGTAAAAGTAGACATGAGTAAATAAACCCGGAATACTGAGGAGAGATAGCTAGGGCCTCAGGTCTTCCTAGCAATATGGCTACAGTGAACTGTTATTTCTACACAAATTAAGCAGGCTACAAACTAGCATTTAGGACCTGTGAAGTTCAAACTTAGATGACTCCACTAGATTATAACTAATTGTGTATGAGGGAGATAGAAAAGCGCATACCTATCCGATCTAGTCGATCAATGGCCACTGTTTCAAAGGCTCTCCGCATCATCGGATATTCCTCCAGGACCTCATTGAAATTGTCCACCGAAAGCGAATAGAGACGACAATATGTATCGGCTCGAACACTGGCTGTGCGGCGTCCCTTGGTCAGCAGGCAAATCTCTGTAAAAACAAGAAAGAAAAATTGTGGGATAATTTTCTTTTAAATGCTATGAGGGCCTCTGACAATAGAAATGTTTTCTGGTATGAGAAACCAATGCTTATTAGCATTACAGATTTTATCAAAATAGTCCTTCTGACCTAAGTATTCAAGTGTTGCTGCTCAATTAATATTCTTTTGTACACAGTGGAGGCTTTTGGTGAAAATGGAAGGCTGAAACAAATTTATCTATTTTCAAACACCCCACATTCCATTAACTCCACAAAAACAACAACAACAAAAAGATGCAAAAAAAAGAAAGAAAGAAAAGGAATTAAAAAATCTGCAATGGAGGTGTAAACAAGATAGGGTTATAACCAGACAGAATAGTTTATGAGCTGTGTAAGGACACAAAGCAGATGATAATATACACAAACCAAAGTGAGTCTAAACATTGGTTTAGAAAGTACTAACATCAAACAAAACTGGACCAGAGGTTCAGATGGACATATTCTAGGCATGCTGTAAAGTACTTCATATATTAGAATTGAGATCAGAATAAAGAAATAATATTCCTAAAATGCAGAGTTCTTCCTATGTAAATAAATTATAAGCAACATTCTTTGCTGAAATTTAGACTCTCAAAATATATGATAAATAAACATTTGCAAATTAAAGTTCCGTATTTGCTAGCTGAAATGTCTATATAATTTTTTATTTCATTTTCAAATTTTATGAGTGAAATTAAACTCCTAGAAGCTTTACTTTTTTTTAAGTCTGAAGTAATTTAAAAAAATATCTTTATGAGGCCAGACTGTGGGACAGTGGTAAAATGGGATGCTCCATGAGGTGTCATGACTCACAGTAGGGTTCCCTTTTGTATCTGGAGACTCTCCTGAGAACATCAGGCATGTGTGTTCCCAGGAGCTGAGGATGGATTACAACATCAAGGCCTTATTGATGGTGCTGTCTGCCAATCTATCTGTGTCTTTCTTCAAAATAACCAATTAAAAACACAGAAGAAGGATTTCTAAAATGTACAGTCTCCCAACAAAAGGAAATACAAAGCAAAATAATGATGAAATGTCCAAATTCTCATGATTCTGATGTAAAGAAATTCAGTTTATGTTGATAAAGATTGTAAGTAAATTATGTTGTGAGCACGATGTATTTGATGTTACACTTGCAAATGAGTTGAACATAATATCTACTTTTATATTACTTGTATTCTGCTGGTTGAAAAAGAGAGTTTGTCTCAATAAAGAGTTCGTTTCACTGCAATGTAGTAAAAGCAATGGGCAAACTAGGAGTACTAAAGAATCGCATCTGAACAATCTGGGAAAATAAGGAAGACTTTGGAAATGCCATCTAAACCACTAGTTAATATGCTAAAAACAAAGTACATGGTATTGTGGAATGTCCATGCTTATATATGTGTTTCTGTGTGTTTGTGTGCAGGTGCATGCAAGTATCTGGTGTTTGTGTAGGAAGGTGAGTTTTTTTTTTTTTTTTTTTTTGGAGAGATTTTTGCTAGAGGGTGCGTGCGCTCACCAGAAAGACAGAGAGAGAAAAAAGACACAGAGGCAGAAAGTGAGAAATCATCCCCCAAGGGGCATGGCCATGCCACAATCCCTTCTCCTCCATTCTCCTCTCGGGATTTTGGGCAAGCACGCACACGCACTCGGCATGAGTTTAAGCCACCGGGTCTGGGACTCGAACAGTGGTCAGCTACATGCGAGTCCAGCGACATAACCATTATGCCAACTGCTTGTCCCAGGAAAGTGAATCTTTATTGGTTAATTTTAAGGCAATTTATTATACCATGGAATTTACCTGGTACACTAATATAAAAAAAAATGTAAGAAAAGGACACATTTTAACATTACTTCAAGATTAAATTGCCATATTTCTTTTTTTTTTTTTTTTCCAGAGAGACTTTTGCTATAATGCATGTCTGTGCACCGGAGAGACAGAGACAGAAAGCGAGAAATTACCCCCCGGGGAATGACCACATCACAACCCCTCCTCCTCCAGTGTCCTCTCAGAATTTTGTGCATTCATGCACACCGGCCCAGAATTAAGTTTGAAGCTGCTGTGGACTCAAAGCATGGTCAGCCATGTGGGAGTCCAGTAATATAACCACTATGCCATCTGCCGGTCACTAAATTGCCATGTCTCTAAAGTTCTAGTGGCATTTTTTTTTTTTTTTTGCTGTAGGGCGCGAGCGCTCGCCAGACAGACAGAGACAGAGAGACAGAAAGTGAGAAATCACTCCCCAGGGGGGATGGCCACTCTGCAACCCCTTCTCCTCCATTCTCTTCTTGGAATCTTGGGCACTCACGCACACACGCCTGGCTTGAGTTTTAAGCCACCGGGTCCGGGACACAAACCGCGGTCGACCCCATGGGAGTCTGGCGACATAGCCATTACGTTAACTGCTGGTCCTTCTAGTGGCATATTAAAAAATTTGTGATTGCCACATTATGGCAAGTAAGTTCATTAGAAGTGTTTTATTGTTAAATCTGTACATTTCAAATTGCAGAGTAGAATTGTATAAATTTCCTGGCAAACAATCCCATATGTTAACATGTTGTTATACTATGTAATGTTTCATTACATTATGTAACAAAGGTATCCACATACTTCAACCCAAGAATTTTACTTGACAATGTAACCTAGGGAAATAGTCTGCAATTAGACTAATGCTGCTTACACAGCATTATGCAGTGAAATACAGTATGTACTTGTTTATGAATATGAAAATATAGGAATGCCCCAAATGTTTATCTAATCAAGATTCATAATAAATTATTCCATGGGATGAATTATGCAACAGATATTAAAAGTGAAACCTTTTAAGTCTATGTAGTAACCGCAGCAGATCATGAAGGCTTAAATGAGAAAAGCAGGATACAAGATTGTAATTATAATATGATAAAAATGACTCCATAGAATCTATTAATATCTCTTGCCCTGTATGAAAAAGTATTTCTTTTTGTTGATATACAGTGTGCATGTCTTTTTTCAACCTTCCTGAATATAAATTATTTTTATTTGAGAATATGAATAACTTATTTTAAAAACTGTATTTAGGGAACCACAGGTAGTGTAATGGCTATGTTGCTGGACTCCCACGTAGTCGACTGTGGTTCGTGTCCTGGGCCCGGTGGCTTAAAACTCACGCCGGGCTCATGTGCATGCGTGCCCAAGATCCCAAGAGGAGAATGGAGGAGAAGGGATTGTGGCGTGACTATCCCCTCTGGGGGGTGATTTCTCGCTTTCTGTCTCTATGTCTCTCTCTGTCTGGCGAGCGCACGCGCCCTATAGCGAAAAAAACAAACAAACAAAAAAAAACCTCTCAAAAAAAAAAAACAAACAAAAAAACTGTATTTAGAAAGTTAATATTTACATGAATAGGATAGAATAAAGCAAGGTTCAAAGAAGCATACATAACCTGTTAATAGTGTTCAGTATGGTAAGAAATTTCCTATTAAGTTTATTTTTCATTTTTTAAAAAATTTTGTCAGGAGCTGCATACACTTACCAGAGAGAGACACAGAGAAAAAGAGAGAAGGAAAGTGAGAAAGCACCCCACTGTGGGGATTGGTTCTGTCGCAATCCCCTCTCCTCCATTTCTCCTTCCTTTTAGGATTTTCAGCATGGCGCACATGCACACTCAATGATTTTGAAGCTGCTGGGCTGGAGACTTGAACAGCACAGTTGGTCATGGGGGATCCAGCTGCTTTCACCATGCCATTGACTGTTTCTTTTAAAATATATTTATTTGGGCATTTATATTCTTAATTTGAAATGATTTTCATTTTCCTCTATCTGTAGCTTTGTTATTATATCCTCTCTTTTGTTATGGATACAATGGACTCTATTCCCAGTAGGTGTCAAGAGTTAGGATTTCGGAATGACATAGATAGATGCTACAGGAATGAGCCTCAGTGATGTTAAGTGAAAAAAGAAGACATAATAATCCACATATTGCTTGATTTCATTTAAATGAACCATCCAGAAAAGACAAAAGAAGACGGAACTCTGCAGACACAGATAACAGATTCATGGTTGCTGGGGGCAGGGCATGAAAAAGGGGATTAAGAGCACATAGGCACAAGGAATCTTATTACAGTGATAAAAAATGGTTTAAACCTGATTTATGCTGCTGATTTCATTACATGGTAATTTTACTAAAAAGATCACACTTTAAATGGATCGTATATATGTAAAGTAGATTGTCTTAAAGCTATAAAAGATGACGAGAAAAATTAGTTGTTTTTATTTTCTTTCTTATAGTTATCTGTATTTGAATTTCTCTTTTCTTTCCTAAATTTTATTCATTTTTTTTTTCTTGTACTGTTTTAGTGTACGTGGGCTAGGTCACTTTACAATCCCCTTCTTCCAGATCCTTCAGGATCCTGAGCATGCACCTGTACACCCAGTGTGCTTTCAGGCTACCGGGCCAGGGACTTGAACGGCCATCAGCATATGGCCTCCATCTCCACACACTGATAGCCTGCTTGCTAGGGCAGAAAGGCTGGACCCAAATTACATATTTTTTATGCTGGAATTATTATTTTGGTCTCTAAATTTAGGCCTTTCCCTTGTGTGTTCAATACTTCTTCAGTAATTTATTTATGTCCATTTACTTACATTGAAGGATAAAAACTGGCGAGGTTGCAGGGTTGGTGATTTAGAGTTCTTGTTAGAGCATGAATAGATCAGGGACTTGTCCTCATATTTCTCTAAATGCCTGAATGAGGAGGGCGATAATCTAGGTCACTGGCATCCCTCTTAACTGGCCTAGTCCTATTGGTACTGGTGCTTTAGGTAAGAACCACTGACTTCCCCATCCCCTCACCACTCCCTGGGGAGAAAAAATGGAGAGCTGCAGACTATTCTGCAATGAGGAGCGAGGGCTGGGGAATCAATTCTTTCACAAACTGACCATCGTACATGTCATTTTCTTTTTGTTCTGCCTTCTGTGGTTCCACGTCCTAACTAGGAGCCTCTCTAGGGT